CCCCAAAACCCCAAAACCCCAAAACCCCAAAACCCCAAAACCCCAGTTCAGTAACAGTATAAATATTCTAAAATATTTTGGAAATTACCCGCACGTAGCTTATCTGTTGAACTTGTTGTGCAAGAAGACCAGGAAGTTTTTGGAAGAGATGAAGGAAGAGATTACGTATTATTTTAGAGAGTTTCAACCACATTTGTTCGTGATGAGGGATATTACGCCACAAGGGGTGGATTTTATCCGGGAATCGAGGTTCTTTGGGACGTGAAAGTATCGGTTTATAGTGACGAAAAGGTCGTCTTTTGAGATTTTAGCAAAACTTATAGCTCAAGAAAGCCCGCTTACGTTGAATTTTACAGAGATAAAGTATATTATTGATAGAGGTGGTTTCCAGAAACGCATCTGTGAGTACAATTTTCTGTGCAAAACTCTTGAAAAATGAGGATTTGATACAAAAAAGTGGGTCACTCCTATATACAGAGACCGTAAGTTCATGATTGAGTACAAGATAATTCCAGCAAAGCCATAATTCTTAAAATATTTATAATTTAGCATTGTCATCTTTTCAAAACGAGTCAGTTATCTCCTCCCAGAAAGTATTCTTAGCGTAGTTGTTTGTGATTTCATTGTATAAGCCTGCATTCAAAAAGCTAAAAATCTAACAGACTTTCCAAAAATTCTGAAAGTCATCTAAAAGGTTCAGTCTCTCAATTATATTCATGAATGATATAACTCAAATATCTTAAATTTCTTCGAAATTTAAGATATTTTTGAAAATGTGTAAATTTAGAAAAAATGGAATCATTCTCAGAAATGGACTAGAAAATTAAAGGACCCAAGAATATGCATAAAGTGTTAGTTCAAAACCACAGATTTGTTGTTGATAGACAATACGACTCTCTAAAACTATAAATCTGGAAACTGGCACCTATCTGTCACAGCTATTGACATTATCAGAGACAAGAGAGTAGGAATTAACAAGCATGTGTTATTCAATTAAGATAAAGCAACTATTTTATCTATTCTTTATCGAGTTAAACTTTTATTTTTCTTCGAATATCCAAATATCTGAAGGATCTTGGATATTCCAAATCTAATAGGAGGGGAACACTTTGGATACTTCTATATTGTGAGCCAACCTCTAGAGACTGATTAATATAGAATAATTATGTCTGATATTATTTTATCAGAGCTTCACATCCAGTATATAATCAACCAAATTCTAAAAGATTTACAAAACAGTTTAATTTTTAGGCCTGATGTATATCCATTCATCAGGAGCCTTTCATGGGCGCCTTAAACCTATTCAATGTATTCTTAAGCTCAGATTGATACTGAAAAATTGCAGGAATGAGCCACCTCTGTCCTTCTGACTATGGACTAGGAGATAAAAAGCTATTCCCTTTAATTTGGCACGAATCTCCTGTAAAATTGATTAAAATGGAAGCTGACCCTCAATTTGATAATATCTGGGGAATTGGGCTGACTCTCCTTGAATTAATAAACAGATCTCCCTGCTTCAGGGCATAAGTTATAAGAGCCTATTTGATATGGTTACTAAACACTTAGAGCCGACTCCTGAAGAGCTTATTTCAATGATAAAACAAGGAAATATTAGGAGAAAATTAAGAAGTCTTGAAGATACTGACACAAGTAACTTCCAGACTTTAGTTCCTGATATGAGACCAGAAGCATGTTGATTTTATGCTGAAATGTCTGAAAGTTAACCCATCAGAGAGTAACTGCATGGGACCTGTAGAACCACCAATACCTATCCCAATTTTTAGGAGAGGGCGTTTCTGAATGTTCAGAGCAATTTAATTGGGATTGGAGGGACTACAAAGACACACCACCAGATCAAATCAAAGAAGAACTGTATTCTGAAAGTCTGAAGTGTCATCCGAAGTAATTCTACTATCCTGGTTAATATCCATGACGTCACCTGCCATTCTAGGTATATCCTTACCAATTTTGAGGAGATATTTTCCATATAAACAGCTATAACCCTCCAAATATACAAACATATTTTTTTGAAATAGAGCGGGGTTTTGGGGTTTTGGGGTTTTGGGG